CTATCTATCTATCTATCTATCTATCTATGTGTGTGTATTGGTTCTTGTTTATTTTGACTTACGGAGGAGTATACGGGGATATGTAGTGGTCATATATTCGGCGCATATATTCGGCGAGCCAGGCTACTCTGCAGCCATGATCATCAATTGCAGCTCAATGTTGCCTCGTTTGCAGATCCAGGCTGCTGGTTTGTAAGGGGCGAAAGGCTGAGGATATCCTGGGTAACTGCACAGATAGTAACTGTACTATGACTGCAGAGCGTCTGGCTGTGGATGATGAGTTTGGGGTTGGGGACTTTTGGTTCTGGGCTGGAGGTCTTGGATTGAAGGTACATGCTCTGCTTGCAACAAAACAAGGAAACAAATCCCTCTTCAAACCTGCATCCCCTAAACCCTAAACCCTACACCCTCAACCCTACACCCTAAACCCTGAACCCTAAACCCACAACAAGGAGGGCTACTTCGGGAGCCCCTGTTCATGGAAACCCCCAAATCCCATGCCAACGCCCAGGCCCCATATTGTACTTGGACAAGTTGCTGTCAGCCCAGTAGGGGGTCCGGCCAAAGACCAGCACGAACAAAACGCAGCCCAGTGACCTCACTTTGGTTTATGCTGCTGGGGCGGTCTGACTTATGTGTAATTTGAGCTTGGGGCATAAGAGTGTCTAAGAACATGGAGAATATGTGGGGGGATTGAACTTGGATGATGAACATGCAACAACTGACAGTTGGAAGAACCCTGCGCCCAAACTCGAAATCCGGGGACCTCCATACATAGCGCGCCAACACCCCAAAACACGCATACCTCGACGAAGAAACTCTGGCTGCAACAGTCACCAGGCCCTATGTTCTGCTCGGCCTTCGAATGAGGCGGTAGTTGAGATGTTCGGAAGGCATAGCTCGCTTTGCAGACCCTTTATCCTAAGTGGATACCTTGCAAACCCTGACTCCAGAGAAAACAGGTATGCAGAAAGCGTTTCAACATGATGGTGTGCCCCAAACCCGCTACCCTATGTAATCTCCATCTCGAGGCGCCACATGTCACGTGGCTTACCCTTGACGCCTGCATCGTGGCCTTCGAAGCACCTAAGTGGCACAGTTGCTCTTCACCAGGTACATGATTTTCTAACTCAGGGATTCCTTTTTATCATCCAAAACCTATAGTACAAGGACCTGAAAAGATGTCAGAATGTTCAAAAAAGGTTGGCAGGGCTTTGTGCTGCAGATTGAAATGTACAGCCGCAATTCGCGGCTGGAGCTTCCGTCAAAAACAGCGAAGCAGGAAGGGGGAGCTAAGCAAACAGGTTGAGACTGAAAATAAGTGGAGGGACTGTATGGCCTCCAAAGGCAAAATGTATACTTCCAACCCTTCAAGTAGAGCCTGGAGCAGATAGGAAACCCCAAGCCCTAAACCGAGTCAGGGCACTCTGGGGGGGTGAACTGCTGAGTGCCCTGGGCATCATAGATCAGGAAGTCTGGCTCCTCACACATGGAGTCTCTAAAAATGGAGGACCTTGGGACCTTAGGGATTTCCGGCATACGCGGCGAACTTTTGTGATTCCTCAAGTGCCTAATGAGATTTTGGGGAGATATTTTGGGATTCCATATGTAGGGCTTCAGGGTGCAGGCTTAGCGCTTCGCGTTTGGGAGGCTGGAGGCGGGGAGTTCCTACAGATACTACTTGGGAGTTTCCAGAAATGAGAGTACCTTATGTGGCCCCCGTAATACATGGCCTATGGTATTTGGGGGCTTGGCAACCATGAATTAGCGCATGTGGTCGCGGGATACCACCTTGTGGGAGATGCAAATGTGGTGGCTATGCTTTATGTAATCATTTTTCGTTTCCCAACAAAACCAAAACAGAGTTCTGTCTGAAAATACTTGCGACAGCCTGGGGGGTCGAGATTCAAGACGTAGGGCTTTCAGCTGGAAAGTCCTACAAACATCTACAAACTCCCGACGGGCATCTGGCTTCGGCTCGGAAGTCTGCCTCAGGGCCCCGAACTGCAGGCCTTTAGAGCATTGTCTTTGTGGATCATTAGGAAAATGGATGGGGACTTAGCAAGACTTAATATGTATACTTTTAACTTGTGACCTCTATAAACCAGATGACAACCTCAGCTATCCCATTGTCTACTGCCTAAGTCCGGCTGAACCTCCGAGTATCATTGTAACGGAAACGTCTACAGCCCCAACACCTTGGCCTGGACGTAGATGAGCTACAGTCAATGTGTCCCATATGAATGTGTTGCAAAATCATGTGTGTGTGTGTGTGTGTGTTTTTTGGGGGGGTCGTTGTAATGCGCGGATTATACCATTTTTGGGAACCGCTAAGATGGAAACGACCATATAATTGATGGACATGGGCTCCGTTTAGGGAACGTATTACGGATGGGGAAGTTTGCGAAGTACTGCATGCTGATTCCCTAAACCCTAAGCCCCATCTACTGGGGCTGTCAAAAATGCGGTGCCCCTTCTGGGATACCCAAATATAAGGGGCGATATTCTAATTGTGGGGACCCCAAAAGGACCGGAATTTTGAGAACCTGCCTACTCTGCTCGCATATGAACCAGAGGGCTCCTGACACGCCTCAGCAGAATTGAAGTCTGCAATCTTCACCGCGAGCCCAGCATTGACCAGAAGCTCTTGCCTTGCTGTTAGGTTTAGGGTTCAGGGTTTAAGGTTTCCTAAAACCAGGGATATAAAGAGAAATCGTGAGGAAGCAAATGGAACAGAAAAGGGAAAATCAAGTGGCAAGTTTACTAGGCGTCGATGTAATGTGCGCATCTTTGTATAAAACTCTGACTTAAATCTCCCGTGACCATGTACCAATGGCGTCTGGTCTGGCACATCCAACACTTGCTCCTTTCAAATCTGCCCCGGTCTTCATTCATGGGGTCCCTAGGCGAAGCGGATTTCTCGGGATATTTGTCGGTTCTGATTAGGGAAGCTTGCGGAGGGCTGCCAAGGGGTCAGGGTGGTCTGGGTGATGTGAGTGTCTCAATGAGATATATGGACAGTACTCAATAATCATCAAGGACTTTTTAGGAGGTACTTACTTTGAAGGGAATGAGCGAAAGTGGTTCATGGGCCTGCCTTTGCTCGCATGGTGCCGGCAGGATCTTATTGATTTTCTAGATGAGAAGTTGATGCTGACATAGGGCAGGGTGCCGTAGTCAGACATCCAAAGTTTGGGGTTTCATGATTTACGGCCCGGGTGCTGTTGATTTGTTACATTATTTTGCTGTCAGCTACCTCATATCAGTACAGGTAATTGGTGCACAAACCGCATGACCAATGGTTGCTTAAGAACATGTTTGTCTCTCTTTCAACGACAAACAGATGTACCCACCACCCTGCCAGAAAGAGTTTGAGGTCGGGCGCCATTGGAGGCACGCGAAGCCCGGTAGGCCCCGGCTTGTGGCCAAGCAGAGAGCCCGACAAATTCAAACGCATTCCCCGTCCCCCAAACCGAGATATATAACACTTGCGCGGGGATCTATACGTGCTCTATACATGTGTACAACCCACTGGGGGGGGGGGGGTTTAAAGCTAGGCTGGGTGACGGACACATCTGACGGTGTTTGTCAGACCACCGTTGAAACTCTTGGACCATCCAGCAACCCAGAAAACAGAAAAATGGGCCCCCAAATCTTGCACCCAAATACCACGCGGTAGATTTCTAATCGAGAGCCATGACACAAGCTTTGATGATCCCGCTTGTGCGACGCCTCGCAGCACAAGGAACACTTCTCAGCTCCCTCCTTCTAACATGAGTTTTTGTGATGAGGAACCACAAGTTCGCATACAGGAAGCGCGGCAACCTTAGAGGAGATGAGCGAAAACATATCGGAGGTTGAACTAAGTACCATCGCACTCTTCTTAACAAGCTTACAACCAAAAGATCATGTATGATCTTGTGGAAATTGGGGACCACAGTCGCCCTCAGTGCTCCTGATCAAACATGCTGCGCATAGGGAAGTCTCTAGGGCAGCTGTGGCATATGCATTTTTCAGACGTAGGCTACGATGCAGCTGCGTGCCCCAAAGTGTGGCAGCTGTTGTCCTTTCAGGCCCGCAGACTCAAAGAGACTGTCCTTCCAGCAGCTCTGGAAGGTTGGACTTCTCAGCTTGTGCTTGCAAGTGGCCCTGTAATAACTAGAAACCGTGAATCCTACACCCACATGTTGCAATCTCCAAACTATAAGCCTCTGATGCTATAAAGCGGGTGCCAAATCAAGCCAGAGCCTACACCTGCGCCACACACCCTGAATTTGACGCTTATTTTTTCGGGAAGTACCCATCTACGTGCCAGGGGTTTAGGATCCCTGCGCCTCAGTAGGCTGCAGCTGAATCGTCGGCCACTGACTCCTGAGCTTCTCCCCTTTGTGGCAATCCATGTGATTGTTTGGGCAGGTATACATCCAGTATGCAAGGGGGGGTGGAAAACAAAGTCGAAACTACTATAGCATTTAGGGTTTACAAGGTTCAGGGTTTGGGGCTTATGTAAGGTTCAAGGTTCCAGGTTCAGGGTTTGGGGTTTCTAGCTTAACGGATTTTGCTGGTAGGGTCAGGGTGACCTTGTAAGGGTAACCCGAACCACTACACCCCAAACCGCCCAAACCCTACACCCTTACGCCTTTGCAACAGGCTTTCGATGGATGCTGCCTGGATGTAAGCTGTTAGCCCGGCTGGCCGTTGCATGAAGTACTGTAGGCACAGCAAATCGGCAACCCTAACGCAGGATTGGTACCCTGATCCCTACATCAACCCTACAGACTCAGTATCTAGTCCCTATATTTATCCCTGTATAGATTCCATGTCCCATTCCTATTTAGTCTCCTTTTCATTCCCAAATATTCCCTTTAAACCCTTTGTAGACTCGATGTTGAATCCCAATCTAATCCCTATTGAACCCCTATATATTCCTCATGTAACCCTAAGTAGGCTCAATGTCGAATCCCTATCTAATCCCTATATGATCCCTATTTAATCCCGAGTTAATCCCTGTTTAATCCCTGTTTAATCCCTACAGCCCTGATGCAGCAATGGCTCAAGCTGAGCGCTGTGACGAAGCGCGCATCGCGAACGGGAATCGGCTTGGAGAGCACCAGGTTAGGCGGCTTCAGATCCTAGGGTTTAGGGTTTAGGGTTTAGGGATTAGGGCGGATTACGGTTTAGGGTTTAGGGTTGGGGGCTCAGATTTTGAAAAAAAGGTTCGATGGGAGATTATAAGGGGGCTATGCAGGGGTGATATAGGTACTATAGAGGGTTACTTGGAGGCCCATGCGACTTAGTAACTACTTATAACTGGGCTTATAACCCTACTTGTAATCCCCCTAATTGGACTTAAGGGGGTTACCTCAGTTATACGTAGGGTTATAAGCCCAGTTATATGTAGTTACTAAGTCCCATGGGCTTCCAAGTAGAGGGGGGATTCTACAGGACAGTAAAAGGGATTAGGGATTTTACGCCAATATTCAGAAACATGGAAGATGAAGAAATTAGAAGGTAGTCTCTCCCTTAATAAGCCCTACAGTAGTCCCCTATAAAACCCCCTTTTCAGGAGTTTAGACTCTAGTATACTGGTTAGGGTCAGGGGCGTAGGGTTTATGGGGCTTTTAGGGCTTCATATCCTGGGAGCTTCAGGGTTTTGGGTTCATAAGGATTTTAGAGATTTAGTGTCTAAGGTGAAAGGATTTAGGGTTTGGCAGGGTAGGGGTGGTTCATAAGGATTTTAGAGATTTAGCGCCTCAGGTGAAAGGATGGAGGGTTTGGCAGGATTTAGGGATTTGGAGTTTAGAGGGTTTAGGGGCATACCGTTCATTGAAGCGATGGGCCTCCCAAACAGTCAAGGGTCCATTTTGGGGAGCCCACTACAGTAAGTACATATCATATTTTAGGGTACAGTAGGGTACGCCACTATTTGGAAATGCACAGACCCTGAGTCCTGAGTACTGGGTATCCTGACTCCAATGCATTCCAACGTTTAGGGACCCTAAATCCCTAGTTGTCGCAAAATTCCAAAGCCAAAGCATGCAGGCTCACTACACTCATGTGCCTACACAAGCATTGAAACATTCATCCCAGACCCTTTTGCAACAGGCTTGCATCGACGACGCCTCCCTAAACCCTAAACCCCAAACCATGGAGACGGGCCCATCATCTGAAGTGAAATGATGGAGATTCCTTCACAGCCGCAAGTATGTAAATGCTAGGAGGCACACCAACCTATAAACTTAAGCTACTGGAACCCTTACGTACTATTATGGGGACCCCTTTAACGGCACCCCTAATTCTGGGAAACCTCCCACCCTGAACCTTAAACCCTGAACGTTTAAGGCTTCCAAATGTTTTTGGGTTCGGTAAAATTATGTGAGAATATATGGGGTTGAGAAATGTAATCCCTGTGAGTTATATCAGGCTATATAAGGCTTCTGGTCCAGAATAAGAAATATTCCCAGGAGTTACAGCAGATCCAGTTGCACCATAAATTGCTGGAGCCTTACATTTTCAGCGGTCCCCACTGTAGAGGCTGCTGGGGTTGGCTTTAGACCGAATACTGCAACCCTAAACCCTAAAACGCTAAACCCGGAACCCTAAACCCCTAGACCCTTTTGGTATGTTATAATAAGATCCCCATATACCCCATATTCTATCTACTCAAGGGGAACTATAAACCCTCAACCGATGCAAGGGTTGACAGCACGGCTCGCAATTTTGATCTTTGAGCTCAAGCTCTGAGGTAGCGAATTGTTTTGGTAACATACGGTGGATATTAAAAATCATACCTAACGTACCTTAAACTTTGGGAAATATTATGGTACTGTGGTATACTAAGGTCATGTTATTCTAATATCAACAGTAGAGCTTCGGGTAATCCTGCACTATGACCATGTAGGACTTGTAGCGGGATCACATTATTAATGTTTATCCGAATTCGTATCTAACATCAGCCCGTGTGGATTCCCTTATACGGCCCTTTTCGACTGCTGCAACAATCTTCGAAGTCTATGAACGGATGAGGCGTCTCTCATAAATCTTCTTGCGCTCTTACCCCCAAGCCCCAGACCCTCACTTGACATCTAAGTGCTCAAAACAGTTAAACCCGAAACCCTTAAACCGCAAACTGTGCAGGCCTTGTGGATGATGCCTTTCTCGTGCAAGTAGCCAAGGCCGTCAGCCAGCTGACAGCAGAAGTACCTGCAGCCAGGCACAGGGAGAGCCTTCAGGTGTGGAGGTTGTAACACACCTTCAGTAAATAGAATATGGAATTAATCAAGATTATAGTAAGAACCCCATATTCCCCATGTTCTATCTAGTTAAGAGGGACTATAAGGCTACGGATCTGTGATCTATGCTTTAGGTCTGAGGAAAATGCCTTTCTACTCTCCTCCAAACTGATTAACGTGGAACTCCACAACGGGAACCTGCAAAGGCTAGAGTACTCTTAAAACGGGCTATGTAGGTTCCATGTACGCTTTTTGGGGTGCCGTAAGAGACCTGACTACAGTGCATGGGCCCTCTAAGGCTCATGCCAAAAAAGTTGCACCCTGCAAGACACGTTGCAAGTGCGGAGAGACCCCAAGATAGCGCAGCCATTCTTATTAAGATTATAGGAACGCCTGAGCACTTTTTCCAAAACCCTTTGAACCCTGACTCAGCCCCGAGTTTCAGGGTCTTACACTTGGCTAACTGCAACCTCCCACCAATTGCTCCTAAGCCAGCTTGCACTCACTCCCAAAGCGATGACAGTAGAGAGCATTTCTCAACAGAAACCCCGCTGTTGAACTTTTTCCCAGCTCTATCTGCTAGGGTCCCCAGGGATACACAGGGACTATGAGGGGAATATGGGGGGACTGCTTTAGGAAGTAGAATCCTAAATCTACATCCGGAAGTCAAAACTGACCAAACCACAGACTGGGCCCAGCCCCCTCCCTAAACCCTAAACGCCTAAACCCCTAAACCCTAAACAAACCCCTTAACCCTACACCCTTTTCCACGCCTGACCAGCTCTTCTTGGAAGACCAGGACTTCCCTCTGCTTCCTAACATGAGCCACAGTCAAGACTCCTCAAAGGGGGTTATGTGGGGCCTTATATTTGGGATTATATTGGGATAATGGCAAAGAAAAAATTGAAACTACTATTTAGGATTTTGTGTTAAGCTATATGAGCCACAGTCTAAACTCCTGAAAGGGTGGTTATATGGGGGCTCGTATGGGGGCCATTTTAGTGGTTACTAAGGGGGATACTAGGAGTTTAGACTATAGACTATAGCTCACATGCACTTGCCAGTGCTTATGAATAGGATTAGCCCAATGATCTTACGTGTAACCCAAAAGCTACCAAGTCAAAGGAAACTGAGTGCAAGCTGCCCATCACTATTGCAAAATGCAAAAGAGAAGTAACAGTGCTGCTGCTTTTGTCGGGCTAAATCTGCAGACATCACAGTTTGGGGTAAGGGGGCAGTTTAGGGCTTCGGCCTTTGGAAAGATGTGGGAGCAAGCTTAGCTTTCACTGGAATGGTTTAAGTCTAAGGCTTCGCGGACCTGGGGTGAACCACACATTTGAGCAAACTCCGTTGCGTCAAGCCCTTACACGTGAGCTGTATGCAGCCTCAGAAGAGAGCAAGACAGAGTACAGAAAGAGAGTGGGGAAAGAGAGAGAATGCGGGAGGTGTGGTAAGACTCTGAAAGCCTGGCGTCGTGTCCGGAACATAGTCGCCCGGGCACACAGCGTCGCCCCAGTGGGCATGTACTGGGGCTTGTGCACTTGCCGTGTATGCCAAGCTTCCTGCAGGAAGCAAGGTTCTCGTTTCAGACCTCTTCTGGGCAGAAGAAACAGAAGCATAAGGCAGAAGAAACAGAAGCATAAAGAGATTGCTTACCTTACGCAGGTACCTTGATAATTCCCCAAAGAGGACAGGCAAGAGCAACAGCAAGAATAATGCTAATGCTACTTGTAGGACTAGTAGTGATGATAATATCAATGATGCACTAACATTGCTTAAAACAATACTGGTGTTGGACGAGTCTGCTTGTATTACTACAAGGCTGAATGCATCAGGACTCTGCAGCTGTTTGTTGGGAAGACTTAAGCCTAGTGGCCCTCTAAGTTCCATGCACGCCCAGTTGGGCTCCTGCATTCTGTGACGTCTCTGATTTTCATCTGTCATAGCTTTCAGAACAACAAAGATCTCAAACCCCCAGCAATCTCAGTACACCTCAAGCCGTGAAACCTACATCGCAAATACCTCCCAACAGAGTCCTTCGTTCCATACCATCAGCTGATTGCCAGGCAGGCCTCTCAGGGACGCCCCCATGCAATGCATTGGGCCTTTCATGGGAATTCTCTCAGGCTCAAATGCTGGGAGAGCTTCAAAGTCTAAGTTGAGGGCCTTGGCGCGTCCCGTATAGCCAAGACATCGCAGACTTATCTGCACACGCCATGCAACAATGCGCAGAGGTGCACAAAAGGTACGTATGTGTGTCAACTGCTACTCACCAACCGCCCGACCTTCGTACACCTTGTCATCCCTGAAACTGCTCTGGACTTTTTGCACTCCAGCCATGACTTATTGATGTCCCCCCTACCCTCCACAAGCCCTTAGAACCCAAGAAACCGGAACAAACTTCTTGCAGGCCCAGCCTTCATAGACCATGTAGACTGAATCATGGGATTCACAGTCAATGACTTCCTCCAGCCGCACGACGTGCGGGTGCGACAGCTCTGTTAGGATGCGGATCTCCTCAAAACGTCTGGGTTTCAGGGATTGGGATGGGGAATAGGGTGGTAGCAATTGTGATCGCAATGGCTACCACAGTATTCACCAAGATGCGCATCTCCTCATCTGGTTTCAAAACAAGGGATCAATCAAGTATCTGAACCAGTCAGGGCCCGAAAGCTTTACATGCGCAATCTGAACTTTACAGCAACGTAAAGCGCATTGCGTGGCCAACGGCTTCTGAGTCCATATGCTCGAATCTGTTTAATTAATTCGACCCAAGCGCATTGAGTTCCTTCTAAAACAGTACCATGTAGCCAACTCTGAAACTAAGCCCCTTTACAAACTGATCAGCTAGCTGAATCAACCGTTTAGCTTGAGATCCTCACCTGCTTTTCCTGAATCCAAGCCTCAACCCAACAAATGATAACTTCCAAGCCCTCAACCCGCTCCCAAAGCCTGCATCCCCGGAAAACCCCAATTTGGACTCAGAGAACCCCACCATAGTGCATGCCAAGAACGGGGACCGAAGCCCTGCAACACGCCCAACCCGCAAAAATTCGGGTAACAGGCAACCCCAAGAATATACTGGGAATCTGATAAACATATACCTACCAGGGTCCCTATATCCCAATTATGTTCCTACTATATTCGTAGGCTTCCTTCTTTGGGGTCCCACTAGAGTCACAAAAAGGAATACTACTGTTCAAAAAAAATCGGCACCTCTTCAATGCACTCCCGAAACGGCACCTGGGCTCTCCGGAGGCTGAGCCTTTTGAAGATTTGTTGAAGAATTCCCTTCCCTACTTGGAAGTCTATGGGACTTAGTAACTACTTATAACTGGGCTTAGGGGTATTATATGTAGGGTTATAAGCCCAGTCATAAGTACTTACTAAGTCCCAGAGGCCTCCAAGTACGATTTGTAGGGATTGGTATGTAGAGCACTGGGAAATGAAGTACAGGACCTCATGCAAGATTGACCATACCCTGGAGCAGAAAAGTGTGCACAAGAGCCTTCAACATGCCGCTTTCCATCGGCATTTCCCTTCTTGTATCCAAATCTCGTCTTCAGCATGCTTCTGGGTTGGCCCCTAAAACCCTTTGAAAAAAAATAATACATAGGGTCCCCAATTAAAGCCATTAGGGAAAATATTAAATATCCCAGGGGCCTACCCAGTTCATCTTTTTTGAAGCTTATTTTCATGAGCTAGAGCTTTCGGTAGACTTGGTAGACCTGGCGTGGCTTCTGGCAAAGCTTACAGTCCATGGATCGTGCCTCCTCTTCTTGGTTTCTCAAGTGCCAATGTGTGAACTTCCTTCTCAATCGTAGTTCACCTCCTCATCTTTGTTGCTGGGGAGATCTAGAGACCGTTGGAGCTTGCTGCAGATGACCCTGCAGTTGGTTTTGAACACAAACTTGTTATGTGTCTCGACGAGTGGTGGATACGGTTCTATTCATTTTGCTTGAGATGAGAGACATGATGATTCCGTATCTTATGGCTTTACAGGAATCAAAACAACTGATCTTCATGCTTTGAAGGAACGGAACTTCATGTCTCCGTTGAGGCGTTAGGCAAAAAGACATATCGCTGTCCGAAAACCTCTGGAAATCCCTCACAGGAAAAGCCTCATGTCTGGCCATCTCTAGGACAATACTGGGTGAAGCATCGCAAAAAAAAAGGCATTGAAGCAGGCAAGGACTCGCGAGGACATCCCTAACAGGAGAGTCGGAGAAACATGACGAAACATGCTACCAATCCCAAAAAGGCCGGGGATGAGCTCTACTTGGAGGCCCATATTAATACCCCTAAATGGACTTAAGGGGGTTACCCCAATTATGTTGGGCTACAATCCCAGTTATTTAAAAGTAGTCACTATGTCCCATGGGCCTCCAAGTGGCCATCCCAGCTATAAGTCCGGATGACCCTCCAAGTGAGATGACATTGAGCCGTGCTTTCACGTTAAAGTTCCACAGCCAGAATGCCAAAAACTAATGCCAACTAGGGATACCATATTGGGGGTCCCCATGGGAAGTACTGTCGTAATCGGGGTCTGAATTGACATTGAGGTCCCCTCAGCTTATGGAAACTACCACTTAGCACTGGATAGTTGCAAATAGGGAATGGACCCCAACCCCGGTCGCTACAGACTCTGTTGTAAAGGTTGCTATAACCCATCCTTCAGTCCCCACTCAACCCCTAAACCCTTAAACCCCCAAACCCGTAAACCCCAAAACCCTTAACCGCTAAACCCCAGCTAAAGCCCAAAGCCTAAAGCAAAATGGCGGGCGTGGAGCTGTAGTGGCCCCATCAGCATCATATTTTGCAACCATTTGTCTGCTCAGTGCCTCTGGTGCCCCAGCAAACTTGGGGGTTTCCCAAAAATGAAGGGTACCTATTTGGGCCCTATAATAAACATTGTAGTATACCAGGGGTCTATAGTAGCGGTAGCGCTATCTCTGAGGTCCGAGCAACTGAGCGCTACACAGCAAAAGCCACATCATCAGAACTGTCGCCCAACCGTCTTCAAGACTGCCAAGCAACGTCCAATTCACTAGCCCTTCCGTTAGGACATCCCGTGGAAACACAGAGACTTCCAGGACTGATTTCCGCTTGGGTGTGCCCTTATTTCGGGAGGCTGCCACTTAGGCCCCCTAGACAGCGCATCCTACTCTAAGTCGAAGTCCTAGTAATGGACGCCTAGTTGTTCTTTCCTGTCTGGCTTGTTACAGCATGCGGCGAAAGCAGATAGAAAAAACGGTCATACTGATGCATCAGAAGGGGAGCATCGATAGACCCATGGGCAGGATTCGCCACTAACATTCGGGTCTGTAGGCTTGATTAGATAACTTTACAAAGTAGATTACTGGCATAAGGCGAAAACTAAGGGCCCATGGTTGCAGCCTTGTCCACCAGCGAGAAGTTTGCAATCTGATTTGGGGTCTGACTTACCTGCTTGTTAACTGGCTCGTCCCCCCGGCATGTCAATTTCTTGCGACTTTGGCGCTGACAGACTCCGAACACGTGCGTGAAAGAAGTTCTCGGACCCCTACCCAAACACCAAAGACAACACCTCAACATCAAAGACTCCTTCAAACTGTGCAGCCAGGCATCCGTCCGTGAAAAACGCTTGATCGCGTGGGTTGTCCCCTCCCGGGTCATTGCCAGCTTCACAGTGCAATAAGTACCCTGGCCCAGATCTTCTAGCAGCTGATACCTGGGCTCCAGAGCTTGCTGTAAGAGACTGGCATACTAGGTTCCGGGGTTTTCATATACCTTTTTTTGGGGGGTAGAGCTTGCTTGATACACTTTCCAAATTGCGCGTATCATTTCTGCGCCGGGGTTAGAGGGATTCCAAGTACAAGAGCTTTCAGAAATTGAACTCTAGGAATAATGCACGCACCGGAGGAAGAGCACATGCTGTGCAACATTCAGGACCGCCTTCCTGAGAATACTTGAAAACTCTGGGCTCTCCTAGAACAGGCAGCATGCAAAGAGCAAGCTGGCGTCTCCCAGAAAATGGACTCCTTTCTTCACCCTACTTGTACCATATGTCTCCGAGCTTCTGATTCACCCACCTTCCAACTGCATCCCTAGAGCACTGAACCTCGGACACGAAGCGCACCATGGCACAAACCTACTTTCAACTTTGCGGGGGGGTGTCAGCGAGTGGAAAGCAGCTGGTTGCAATAATGCATCTTGCAGTTGCAGTTATGAAGGAAACTCAAAGCCTATGTCAGGACTGTAGCCCGAAACTGAAGCTGCGATTTGAGGTAGGAGCCCTCGTTGGGCATTGTAAAGGTCTGGATTCTTCCAGTCCTAACGCCATAGTTGTCATATGCACCTTGACTTGCCTCTTACACTAGGCCGTGGGTTGGTTGTAGTGGACCCAGCTAGTTGTAGGGTTGAACTGGGCTCCCCTACTCTGAACCACACTTTAGGCTCAAATGATGATTTCATGATGTCATGGCGGCTGGGCCGCAGAAACTACGATTTAACTGAGCCCACCAAGCAGCGAAGGGAACAGTAA